TAATAATAATAATAACAGATAGCATTTATATACCACAAATTCTACTCAATAGCAAGTTTATGCGCTTTACGATCTCCATTTACTCCAGCAGACATGATAGCACTCTGAAACAATCTCAACTTCCTGGGAAGCATGCAGTGCACGTTGCCACTTTATAGGCGCTAAAACAAGTAACATATTCCGATGACTAGAGACAAGAACCTTGAAGAATTAGCAACAGATTTGACCAGTGGTCACTCACCCTCCACAGCCATGTAGACTCTCTGGCCCATGGTGTTGAGCACCTCATACTTGTTGTTCGTCTCAAAGCCCGTGAAAGCTGAGGAGAAAATACTCGCATGTCATAATGGGGACAAACAAATGACACTGTCCGGGACAACTGTCTAAAACAACTGCTATTCACCTTGACAATGGGTGGCTGCCATGAACAATTTTGACTATACCTCCAACAATTCACCTCCCAAGAATATTGCCAGATAACCAATATTTAAAATTTTATCTTGAAATCTTCACAGCAACAGGAAGAATAATCTGAGTTTTTCTTTACCAGGTCTTACTTATCAAGAGGGTTAATAAGAAAGATGAACTAAAAGAATATTTGATGAAGTGATACAAGCTAAATGAATTTCTCTATCCCTTTCGAATTTCGTTTGACAAGGTGTTCAAAGACTGGTATAAGGAAATTGTATTTTTTCGCTTAGCAAGGGGCAGGGAATTCTCTCCTGTCGGTACCCTAGCAATGAATTAATTCTAGTCACATATGATGAGGTAACCAAGAAAACAAAATTCAACAAACTGCCACATTAATACAAGTTTGACGCACAATCAGTGAAAGAACAGTCGAACCTGCTTTAACGACCATCTGTCCCGGACAATCAATTGAACAAACTTCCCCCTTTGCCATTTTTTCTACTAAATTGGCACTATGCCAGGGCCCTCTTTTGGTAAGAAACCTAAAAGTGACATAATATATGTTATAAAATATTGGCCATTAAAATTAAATTAAAACAAATGAACCTATTTTGATAGTTCTTTATCTAATAAAGCTGTGTGAGAGGTGTAACTTTCATGAAATTGAAGATGAATTTCACTTTATTTTCTATTGTCCATACTTTGTCCATCAAAGGATATTGTTAATTCCTCCCCGCCTGACTCGGCCCACTGGCAGAAATATGCAATTCTTGACCCATGATAAGAGATATGTGCACAACTTGTACTTTTTCATATGGAAACTTTATTTAACAAATAAGTGTTTTATATGATGTGAAGAGGCTCAATGGCCTTAAACACTGAATAAACTTACTTACTTAATTCCTATCCAATTAAGTACTCCTATAAAAGAGACCTTCTATTGGCAATTGTTAAGACTATTTTAATGTCAAAGTTGTTGCAAAGGAATGTGCCCGAGCTGAACAGTGGTTATGACCGCAACCGGCTGGGAGCCGATTGTCAAAGATAAGGAGTTAAGTAATCTCAGGGTTTCATTCAAGGCAAGGAATAACGTCAAGAATCTCGTCCAAAATAGGGAAATGTGAAACATGTTTGTCTGAGGCCTACAACCTATCCCAGGGTGAGAAAGATAATGATGACAATGATGGTTTTCCATTACATCTACTTAAAAGCCTGCATACAATTTCTCCTGCATGCACAATAATAGTTGGAATCAAGATTTAAACTCTACCAATGACATTCCACTGAGAGAAAAATGATTACTTAGAACAGAATAAAAAAATAGAATGGTTATACTGAGAGGACATGACATATCGTTGTTTCCAAACAAATGCTTTATCTCCCCGTTGGGACTTGCTCACACTTGGACAATATCCACTCATTCCACAGCTACCAGTATGCAAATGAGGCAATTTTCACCCTTTCATCTCTCTCCTCTGACAAGTGATATCCTACTTCACAGCTGTGCGACATGTGGACATTTTCCAAGCGTGCACAGAGCATTACGGTGTTGTTGACATGGAAAGCTCATGTTACAATTTGAGTAAAAACAAGCATATCACATTGAAGCAATAGAAGTCATTTTGTGCCACGAAAAATGTGAGAAGCACAGACAGACAAAACAGAAGGAGAGGAAAGATGCAGGACCTATCAGTGCCACACTCCAACAACTCATTCACAGAGAGAAAAAAACTGAGCCTCAACAGCACTACCAGCTGAAAAAAAGTCAACACAATCTTATTTTTAAAGTATAGGTGTTTTACACCCCCATTAATTCTTTAACCAAGCAATTTAAAATCACGTTTCCGCATAATTCTCTCGTGTTTGTGGAAATGCGACCCTACATATTAGGTTTTTTAAACCGCTTGTTTTGTGTCAAACTGATCCATAAAGCATTACCAAGACATAAAATTCATTTATCTTTGACTTTCGGGTCGAACTAAAGGCTTGTCAGCTCGTACTTTTTTATATTCAGCCCGTCCCATTATGCAATAATAACTTCGCATCGGACGGTGGCACCGTCCATCCAAGGTCAAAGAGTTAACATAATTTAAAGCTCATTTAGGTGGCAGGCTTCCACCATGCTTGACAGGGACATCCTGCTCTGGGAAGGACATAACTTCCTAGCAAAACTAAATTAATGAGAAAATGGCTACCAAAGTTTGGTGACTTCCAAAGCTTGAGCGTCCTTGGAAACTACAAATTTACATTTTTATTGTGCCTTTACTCATTTTTCAGTAAAATCCACACAGAAATATGTTTTTAAAAGGACATAAAAGGTGGACAGCCCCCCCCCCCCCCCCCCCCCCCCCCAAAAGGAAAGAAAGGAAAAGAAAAAATCAATAAAAATGCCCAATACCCGGAAAAAATGTCAGTTTGTTCAATTTCACTATTTTGATGAGTGAGAGCCGGATAGCCTGATTTCACCACGACACCACCCAAATGACATCATGGGCACATGCACACACAGAGTGGTCAGCATCCAGCACTCACCTTCCAAGGCCTCCATCTTCTGTTTGACCAGTAGTTGATCAACGCGGGTGAGGTACTCTAGGCCTGGCGGAGCGCTCACTGCCACAGGCGGGGCACCAGGGCCAGGTCCCCAACCAGCTGAGCCGGCCGGGGGTGGTGCTACAAGAAAATTTTTTAAAAAATATATAAATAAAAGAATGAAACAAAATAAAATTCCACTTTTATTGATTGTATAGATGTAATAACATGTGAGGTGAAGTGAAGAGAAAAAGGGAATCTCAGACGGGGGATGTATACACACATTATGTGATGTGAAGGGAAGAAGAGAACACTCTTTTGTCAACTACATACTGTCAGCTTGGCATTTTTCACATGAAAATTGAATTTGCGATTTTTGCAATTGAAACTGACAAATTCGAGTGGTAGGCGAAATGTCAAAAGTGGTGCCACTGCATTAGAAGCCACAAAGAGACTTATTTGTATTGACTTCCAGTATGTCATGTTGGATAAGTCACAATTGTGTGAGCTGGCAAAACGTAAACAATATGCTCCATGTGCATGTAAAGCATGCAGGCCATGTTTTCTTTGAACTTGCCTTCTGCACTACAGGATATACGGTTTAAATTAGTAGTTCTAGGAGTATGACAGACAATGTACATGGCACTGGGCAACTCAAAACACAAATTCTAAACATTTGCAAAAAACTAAACGGGCGAAAAACGAAAAAAAAAGGGTGCGCAAAAGGAAGGAAAAAAACCCTGGTTTACAGTTCTGCAAATGACAGTCATGTACATATGCTGTGGAGAGTACAAGGAAGGGAGTCTTAAACATCTACACCATCAAATTATAATATACACATGTGTGGGGGCATGGAGAGATCAAGAAAGAGAACCAAAAACTATGCTGCAGTTAATAGTAATGTACGTCTGAGTTTGGGGGAGAGAATAAGAGAGAGAATCTTTACAATATACTCTACTGCATAAGATTATAGCTTGGTAAAAGTATTAGAGCACTTGCAAACTGCATAAGGCAATATGAGCACGATAAAATTATAATATAATATACATAGATGGAATGGAGAGATCAAGAAAGACAATATTTAATGTCCATGACATTAGACTGTAAAACAGAAGCGGGGCCATTTCAAAACGCTATAATGAAAATAAGGATTAAAATAAAAACTTATTAAGACAACCACAAACATCACTGTGGCAAAATCATTCAAAACAATCGATTGCTCGTTTCTGAAGCATATTACATATGCATATGGCAGAAGAGGAATTAACAATGGACAAAAGAAGTATACATGCATAATTTAGTAAACAGACTGGAGCATGTGAATGGTTACCTTGAACAATCGGAATATTGTTCTCCACAGAACACAGACTGTACTGAGCAATGGCTGATGTGATGTCAGCACTACACAAATAATTCCCTACAGGCGAACATAATCAATGATGTTATGCGTTAACAGTCAAATTTTAAGAAATAGGTCCACTCTTTTTTTTGTTTTGAAACATTTTCCGAGATTGATTTGCAGGTCCTCAATCAGCATGCACTATACTACAAATAGCATAAGGGTACTGTGGGTAAAATATGTGTCTTCTCTCATCATATCAAAATTAGATGCGATTTTTTCAAAGTGCTGAAACATTTTCAAAAAACGAGAGATACAGTTAGAGCATAGCCCTGTCAGTGTATATCATATTATGTCCAACACTAGCATGATTTAATCATTATCACAAGTGGTTGGCGAGTGCTCTTTTGTAGTGTGATCCTTCTTTGAAATCAAACATCTAACCTATCCCTCTTCTTTCTTTTTTTTTTTTTTTGTATGTTACTCTCTAGAAGTTACACCTCCAATCTTCAGCACTTACATGATTTGATGACCCATTTATTGTGTTGCAAGAGACATTATACAATTTTTACTAAAACTAAATCATAATCATCTACCTCCTGGTACTGGCTGCATCGCTATGGCCTGTCCTCCTGGCCCCACAGAGGGATACATCCCCATGGCCGCAGCATCTGCTCCTGGCTGGGGGCCGGCTTGAGGGGTCGGTCCAGGAACGGCCCACCCTGCACCAGGGGCCGCTGGTTGGCCTCCTTGGCCCGGCTGTGTGGGGTACGGGGCGGAGCCCGCAGGCCCAGGAGGATACATTCCCTGAGGGCCTGGGTGGACTTCGGGGAGAGGAGGTTTCTCTGACATGATGACGGCAAACAACTTACGAAGAAAGGCTGTGGGTTACAAGGGAAAAAAAAACTTCAATTCTACAAGTCAAGCACAGAAATGTCAAGTGCAGAAAAGAAAGAAAGTTAACCATCGCCATAGGAGACCATTTACGGTTTGTACGGAACGCTTCACTAGATTCAAAGCTGAGCACTCTGCTTTTTATCATAAGACAAAGTGTGGAAATGAATGGTAAAACCAGATCCAAAATGTTTGCACCTGTTGGCTCATTTTTACAGAATTTTTTTTTAGAACTATTTTTGTACTCAACATCTTTTACTTTTATGTCTATTTAAAAACACTTTTCCGGGTGGATTTTTCTGAAAAACATTGAAAGGCATAAAAAAAGTAAATCTGCAAATTTCACAGGATACTCAAGCTTTGGAAGTCACCAAACTTTGGGGGTCTTTTCTCATTAATTTTACTTCTGACATCATGTGACCCTCAACTCTTTCAATGTCAAGTATCTCAACCTCTATTCAAGATAGATGGGTATTTTAATTCTTCAAAAGCAAGACAAATGGATAACAAGCTCTAACTCCATAAATCCAGATCTTTTACCACCATTTCCCAGAGAGATTTTTTTTCAGTCACCTTACCTGGCACACCTTGTCTAATCATAACCCTTAAAAATAAATCTTAAGATAAAAAATGACATGTAAACTTGATCCTGGTGCTGGATCACCACTAGAATTGACACTTTCAGATTCTGGATCTAGCTTTAGTAAATTCAGTTCCACATCATTCTCACCAATATCACTATCACCAAGCAAGCTAAAGCCCTCACTATCATCTGAGAACTGATTGCTACCCAATACTTCAAGTTGAATTTCTTCTAGCAACTGAGATGCCTCATTTAGACTTTTAGTTAGTTAATGTCTTCCAGACATAATGGCCAACGCCCACTTCCTCATCCTCAAAACAATGTAATATGATGTAAACAAAGGGGGAAAAACACTTAAAATGATTCGTTCTAAAAATGCAATCTGAACTTGAAACAACGCTTTGGTGACTGATCATACAAAAGAACTTGGATCAGTTAATAGTTCCAAAAAACTAGTGAAATCTTGCACTACGATATAGGCAGGCCAATATGAAATGAAACAGAAGTCACTTTAGTATTGGATTGTCCTAACGTTTGATGGTGTACAGGGAACAGCTAGGTCAATACCGCCCAACGTTCCCACCACCCAGTGGGCTTAAAGAGTTAACATGATATTAACAATAGCTCCATGATATTTATTTAAAAAATTGACGAGCACCTGATTCCACCTTGTAATGATATATATATTCTCTACGACAAAAGATCAGATTAGATAAGACTTGATGATACTATGTGATGCATCGTGCTAAAATCAGGCGCTCGTCAAAATAATGAAATCGAAGATACAGGCATTTTTCCGCATTTTGGCAATTTTTATCAATTTTTTTTCTTTTTGGCTAAAGATCTATTATGTCCAAGATTTAAAAACATATTCCTGTGTGGATTTTACTGAAAAATGTTGATTAAAGGCAAATAATGTACATTTTTAGTTTCTCAGGACTCTCAAGCTATAGAAATAACCAAACTTTGGCTGCCATTATCTCGCTACTTTACCTCTGAAACCAGTGACCCCCATCTCCTTCAATCGCAAATATATTGACTTTTATTCAAGACAGAAGGGTATTTTTTCATAGATCGAAAGGCAAATGAACAAGATTTAAGATGAAACCAATAACTCTACATGGCCAAAAGTTGATGAACGCCTGATTTCACCGTACCATGACACATTTGTCCATTTGGTTGTCTAAGCCCTAAGACAGGCAGATGTCTTGGGAAGTATATTATCTAGAGCATTTTTCCTGTCTGGTGATTTTTAAAAGATCGAACAATCACAATTTCAAGACCAACCCACCCTCTCGAGGAAGAATCGAAAGCCTTAAACTCTCCCCTAAAGGATGAACAATGTTAAAAGATATTAATTGTTTAGAGACCTTAAACTTTCAACCCCTCATTTGTCTTTTTTCCTTCAAATTCTAAAGCTTCAGTTTGAAAGGCTTCCACTTCCAGTCAATCATTCATCATTGTGGTCTAATTAGGCCAACTGAAACTAGTTCATTATACACACTTCAGTTACTGTCACTGTACAGTAAAACCTCGTTGTACCCCCCCCCCCCCCCCATTCTACAGCAAACCCAGTTTACCGCCAGGTTTAGCCAGTGTACGAAAAGAGACGCCTGCCTATAAAAACTATAAACATAGTATTTTTATGCCTTTACACTGCCATCCGCCAACTGTCTGAGTAGTACCGTTCTTATAAAACTAAAGTAAATTTGCCCCAATGTACCGCCCGAATTGACCACCAGAGGTGGGCTTGTTGATAATCTTTCTCCCACGAGAAAGACATTGAGATAGAGATATGGAAGACTAGAATTCAACTCTGAAAACATGTGCATGAACATGCCACAGATAGTTGAGATAGCACAGCAGAATCATGTCCCTTGATGTTGGGCAGTCGGTGCTATAAAACAGAGGAACCTCGTTGAAATGCCAGTCTCGCTGTACCGCCAACTTTATTCTCGTCCCAAGGGTGGAGGTATAATGAAGTTTAACTGTATGAGATTTATTTTACACTGACTGTTGATCAAATTTAGTGGGAAGACAACTTAATTTCTTAAAATAGTAAAAACTGTTATTTGGATAACAAAACCCAATGATCCCAAGCCTTTTGTTAACCCTTCTATTAACCACCATCTACCAGGGAAAGTCAGTGCAAGCTACTATCTGTGCAGATATTTCACTATGACTATTCACTAAGACTAAGAACCTTTATTCAGACCCAGAAAATTTACACTGGAATATATTATATTCACAACTATTATTGAATTGGAAGGACTTCCGCAACGAGCAACCACCCCAACAATCAACAATCATACTCTAACCCTGACCATTAACCTAGCCCTAACCCTATAGCCTTTAGATTTCATAGTGTGGTTGCTCATTGCGGAATTCCTCCCAAATTATCCAGTATCAAATGGAGATGTTAAGCATAGAATCTGACATTCAGATCTAAACTAGAACCTAGATGACATACGTAGGCCTACAGGCTTTTAAAAAAATGACTAAATATTAGCAGGGAATTTAGGGGTGGGAGATGGAGGGGGGTTTCAAAGGCCCATGTAACAACGATTTGAGGAACTCTTTTCTCGGCTGGCTGTACGATCAGGGCAGCTGGCATTGGTCAATCTAATTTCACATCTTTGGCCCCTGGCTACCCAGGAAAGTTTCCGTGATGGTTCCTTACTCGAGCAAGTACTTTCACTGGCACTGAGATTTCACGCCCACACTACTCTGACCATATTCATCGCTCAGGGCTTACATAAATGGGGTAACATCTACCCCCAAATTGGGCACTCCTGTACAATTGCGGTCCTGTTTGGGGATACTACTAGTTTTGACCCCACCGTCAATTACTTCTGTTCTAGACGATTACGTTTTCATGCACATGCCGATATGAAGATAGCCTATAAGCTAATTGCAAAACATCAAATCATGGTTAAATTCAGGGGGGCATGACCCCTCATTGTTTTTTTTTAGAAGCCCCGTGAAACCCCCATTGCCTTGTTAAAAACAAGTGAAATTTTACTGCTCATTTTGGAGGCTAGATCTACTGAAAAAACATTAAACCATTGATACTGACTGTTTAAATCAGTAATCAATACCCAGAATTCTGTGCTATGCCTAGAGTGATTTAGTGCAAATGGGACAGCAATTGTACAGGAAGGAGTGCCTCAAATTGCACCCCTACTCCCCTTCCTCGCCAGGTGGCATGACGTTAAGTTTAGAGCTGGCGGACGGAACCAAACTTGCGAGTTTTGTTTCAAATCAGGGTTGAGCGGGCAAAACATTTTCTGTCTTAGAAAGGTAAAACCCTCGGAAGAGAGCGGATTTTTCTTTCCATTTCCACGTTGGACAGGTTTCCGATTTATATACAGGTAATTAAAGGAGGAATATCAAGGAGGGAGCGGGGAGATTCCGTTAAGACAGGTTTCCAAGGCAGATTCGACAGTACTTTTTTTCTAATAGTATTTTGCATCATGCTGAACAAAAATATGGTCTTCATTTTTGCCGCAAATCAATAGTTATTGAATTACTGATGTTTGAAAACACAACTAGATCTAGACATCTAGAGTCTATATTACAGTAGAACGAATGGCGTAGACGGCATAGTAAAATTTGGAGTTGTTTTTAACAACATGGATAGGAGGTTTCCCCTTGAAACTGCATTTCACTTTGAG